TTTTACACTTGAAGCAGTCAAAGCTCTGACTCCTTATACTCATGGACAAATTTTTAGTAAAAATGTTTGATTAAAAAATCACATTTTTTTGTCTACAAATGTCTTGTAATGTTTACTAAAAGCTTAAAAAGTTTGTGAAGAAACAAAAACTTGTTAAAAGTTGTTAGTATTTTAGTATGGAAACTGATGGTTACTTTGGGTCATGTGATCAGTGTAATCTGCCAAGGCAATAGCAAAAGAATTAACTGCTAAACTGTTGTCTTGTAATTAGAAAAACAATATTCATAGCACTTATCACATTTATATCGTAGTATTTTCAGTTGTACAAAATAAAATTGCTGAAGAGACCCAATTTTTTCATCTTCCACAATACCCTAGAAGCAAAGGCTTTGTTTTCAAAGTATATCTTAATTGCTTCTTTACTGTCCTCAGACCATGTCCATATGGGACTTTATCTGGCATTCCAAAAATCACAGTCTGCTTGTATAGCAGAACTACTATTTCACAAAATACTTTAAAATTCTTAGATAGATTGTTTTGGTAGAGTATTCATGATGAGTAAACTGGAATTGGTGGCAATTGCTTGTTGTAAAAACACAAGTCTTTGAAAATCTTCTGACCTGAAGATGAATGATGGAAGACTTGCCATCCATTCCAGTTTACTTAAAAATTGGTAAAGAGATTAAGTCCATTCAACTATACAACATTTTTGTAATAATTTCCCAACAGATTTCATTATTATTTGCACCAAACTAGATGACATTGTGTCCTATATTAGATTGTTGTGTAAATATATTTTATGCCTTATATTGCTTCACTAATCATTTCTACTTTGATGTGGTTATTTGTTTGTAAAAAATTTGTACATGAAAATACATGATTATATATATTTTGTTCATTAAATTCTGGTTACAGTTTTTAGCAGATTTTCTAAGAACTTACTGGGAGTGTTGCTTGTTATAGCTGTGTTTACAGTTTTGTGCAGAGATGGCTGATTATTTTCAACAAATCTAGTTGTATATATCAAATAGATAAAAAAATATTAACAAATGCAGTGGTAGATTATAAAAGTGTACACACAATTATATTATTTAATGATCAACAATATAATGAAAAGTTTTGTGTAGTATTGGCAGTTTTATTTTTTGTGTATTTTAAGTGATAAAGTTAATTAGGAGAAATATATGCTTCTGCACATAGAATAGCTTTATCCCTCACACATCTACCTATGAGATTTGCATGCCACTAAGTTTGAGCTAACTCCACATAAAAATCACAAATTTAATGTGAACTGTGCAAGTGCATGATAACTGCCCCACAGTGGTATGTCTGCGGACTTACAACGATAGATACCCGTGGTGGGCAGAGCACAGATAGCCCATTGTGTAGCTTTGTGCTTAATTCCAAACAAACAAACAAGCATGATAACATCACCATCATGCAATGATAGCCCTCCACCAGTAGGAGTACGATACAACCTCTTTGCGAAGTGACTCTCCTAAACTGACTCAGTGATGCTGTACTATAGCAATATGTTTATTTAATGGAAAGACCTCAACCTTACAGAATTACATCATAAAACAAACCCCCTTCCTGATTGTTTAGCTTATATATCCAAGTTCCAATGACTCTTTTACATATGTACACAGACAGGTGTTACGAACCCTCTAGTGTCAAAACAGTCTGTACTTTTTACATCCAAATCTTTAATATTTACTTGTTTTACCATATGCCAAACTTCAGTGGCAGTTTTGCCACAGAGCTTGTATGCTTTCTCTTGGTTGAACACTTCAACACCTTGTTTTCCACATATTGTTATTTTTACTGACTGTTTAAGTAGTCTCCTTTTGTTAAAGTCTCACAATTATGGTGTTTACACTTTCATTTGATGCTCCTTTTGTGGTGCTCCCCTATTTACCTCATATTATCAGAACTTATTGTCTCAAGGACTTCTTTCTTCATGGTCTGAGCTCTGGTCAAACTTACTTATGGGACATCATACATGTTCTTTGATTCCACACATTGATTCTGGACAAAAGCCACAGAGGCAGAAACCTTGATAAGACTTATGGTTCCAGTGGAAGGTGAAGAAGGTTATTGTAAAGCAAGAACCTCTGTACTAAAGAAATGGGCCATGGTGAACAGTCCCATTTGTAGTGATCAAGGTAAAGAAAGCTATCAAGAAATGTTTGTGTACTACATCTGGCATGCTGGACCAATTTAATGCAATATTTTCCAGAACAGTATCGCCTACAAAGGTTCAGAAGAGCATCATTAGCTAGAATATGTAAAGCAGAGCAAGGAATGTTATGCATGGTTCTCAGACAGATATTTAATGCAGATTTACAAACAACATAGGATGGGGCACTATTATAAATTGTATAACTTTAATCCAACTTTAAACATATCAATATACAATGTAGTAACAACAAAGTACGTCAATCAGCTGCTCATAACTACTTGATACTGCTTATAGAAAATTCATCCACTTCTGGAATGTGGAAATTAAAGAAGAAAAATGTGGTTTCCAAGTCCAATGACTGTTCAGTCCCAATCCCAGTTACTGGATTTCTGGAACCAGTGGAATTTTAATATCTTTGATATAAAGCTGTGGAACATTTATCAGTTTGTTATGAGCAATGAAAATATATATATATATTTCAATGTAGAAAAAGAGAATACCAAAGTATTTTCCCAATGCTGCATGAGATCTAAGGTCTCCTAAAGAGAATGGCAAATGAAAGATAAATTATGATCCTGTTTCCAAATTGTAATATCAGCAGCTAATATGGCCCTCTGTTGACCTCTATAAAATGTTCATGAAATCACTAAACATAACATTAAAAAGGGAGGGACTCGGTTTTGATTACTGAGGTACCCCACAACTGAAAGTTAGGACCATAAACCAAATATTTTGGATTTTCACTGAAATGGTACAGCCATGCAGGTAGGTGTGCAACCATTTTAGGAAATGACACCTATATTCAATTTTTATAGAAGTGTATCAGTTTTAACACAAGCAAAAGTAGATTGGATGTCTATGAATACAACCACAGCATACCCCTGCATGGCTAGTGCCAAGGTTAATGTCCAGAAAGTTCTACCTTCTTTTTTAGTTGCATTTTGTTCCATCATAACAGCAGTATTAAATGACTGTTCCCAAATTACTTCCAATACTGAAAGAATTAGAAAGGCATCTTCATAATAAAACTTTGGAACCCCATGTTGTTCATAATGTTTAAATTCTCATAATACCCCTCATAATCTTTCCTTTTAAGGTTCTTCAGTGGAAAGCCTATAGGCTTATGAGGCATAGTTTAAACAGCATGTGGATATTAGTGCTCCTCATATTATTATCATTTGTGAAACTTAGTCCAAATCTCACATTTATTCTTTTTCAGGTTACTCCACTCACTGACTTGATCATCAAGGTACTACTCTTGATGGATTTTGTTTTCTAGTTAGAAAAGACATCAAGTGCATCTGTGTTGACATTTCATAAATTGAATCATAAAAAAATTTAAGTGTAGATGTGGTTATTAATTCCTTTAAACTTGCTATCTTTCCTATTTATAATCCACATATTACTTTCAGTTGTGAACAGTTGGTTCAACTGATATCAGCAACCTACTTCTTATCCTCGTTTGTTGCTAAAGTCCTGGAACATATGATCACTACTACATTTATTTTTCTCCTCTCCAAGTTGGATTTTGTGAGGGATGGAGTAGTTCAGATTGCTTGGTACAATTACAGGATTCCATTAGATCTGTGTAGAACTATCCAACAACTGTTTGAATAGTAACAGGGATACCAGTGGAATGCTGATAAGATTCCATTGATGATATGGATGTGCTTGCCAAGTGACTTAAACAATGTTTCAGAAAGTCAAAAAAAAAATAATGGCTGAGGGAAAGAATGAATGAGTAATTAAGTAGAAGTCCAGCTTCTTTAGAAGAAAGATTTTCCTTAGCTCATAAGCTTTCAACCTCATAGGGATCCTCATACCCAGGACACCACTGTCTATCATGACAATGAGAGGCAGTATGACCAAATCAATAACAATGAAAGCATTGAAGTGGATTATTGACAAATGGTCTTAGTGAAAGACCACTATAAAGGCTGGGTTTGGTCTGAAGTTTCATTCAGTGGTGGTGTCCAGAGTCACTGATAAGGGGAGGAATTCTCCGAAACTAGTCTGGCCCACAGACACACCCCCAATGAAAGAAGAGACCATTCCAAACTTTTACTTTTGTTAAACAAATGTTTAAACAACTCTATTCAATTATGTACCAGCTTCCTAGTGTTGGCTGAAAATACGAAGAATTAAATTGTGGTGGAATGCTACAAGTTCTTCAAATACCAATAGAATGATAAATTTCGAATTTTGTCTGTAGTTATGTCTGAGATTGTGTACTTTACAGATGCACATAAATAATTAGTCTAAAATGTGTTGAGGTCTGCCCTCATTTTGAATTTGCTGTTCACTTCATATCTCTTTTAGTTTTTACTTATAAACATTTTTTTTTTACAAAGATTCTGTTAATTAATAAAATAGAAACAGTGGTCTAATTTAATATTATTAATTTGAAATTATTTTACTCGTTGATTTTAACTTTGTTTTTCAGTGAACTTCAGTTTTCTTTCTGAGTTTGATCACCTGATTTTTTGCTTATTAGCAGTAATATGTTAATTATCGTATTTAATGTAGCAGTAGCTATAAATGTTTATTTTGAGTTTAGAGTTATAAATATTATCCCATTGGTATATGAGAAATTACATACGTTTGACAGAGTTACTAATATTGATCAATGACATTATCCAAGTGTTATAGTTGGTGCAGGGTAAGCTACATAATGTTCTTACAGATTTATGGTTGTTGTTTAGTATTAATTTCCCCAGTAAAAGTAACTAGTTAGTGTAGAAGAAACTATGCATTGTGTATACTGTAATTACTATTGCATAAACATATTTTTTATTGTGCTATTTCTTCTTTCTTTCAGAATATATCCGAGATGAAGTTATTGTTTTATTGGGCATGGCTTTTATTTCCTCTTTCTGTCAAACAACGCTAGAAGTAAGTCTATTTAAAGATTATTCCTTTTTTTTAGTTATTATCCTTTACTTAACCCTCATTAGTACACATCTGGGGACCACATGAACCCCAATGACTTTCTTGGTTGTATATCTTTTTACATAATCATTACAAATTTATATCAATTCATGTAATCGTCAAGCAGAAACCGTGGATCTATATGACACTATTGTTTCCAAAACAGGCAGACAGAGTACATAGCTATGATCTAATACTTATCTGGGGTCCACATGGACCCCATATTATCATTGACTGTCATTATACATGCAGTTCACCTTATAGCATACAAAACAAATTTCTGAATGTTTATTTCATTATATAGGCTGTTTTAGAGGATAATCCATCAAAGTAGTACAGTATCATCTCATCTATTTGTTTATGACATCATTGTGGTAAGCATGTATGCACATCTCATTCCTCAACAAATGTTCTCTGTGATGACTGCTATAATGCCCTATTTTATAGAAACCTTGTTTGATAATTGTTGTAAATAACCTACTTATTGGATTTTCAATCTATAGCCTACTATAAGGATACATTTGTGTTGGGGTCTGGTCAGACCAAAGGTGACCCACAGTGATATTATTATTATTATTTCAGTTTTCTTTGAGTTGAATTTTGTGGTAATCTCGTCATATATTGGTGGATAATGAATATCGGAGTATAATAAAACTTTGGCAATTTTTAATACACTGTATAAGGAACTGTTTAGTACTACTTTTTTTTTTTTTCGACTTCTTGAGAAGATTTCCAAGAAGAAAGTAAACCTATAGACATCGGTCTTATTCAACAAAATCTGCCTACAAGA